TTGTTTGAAGTTCTGATAAATAAAGTGTTCAGACAGTGGTATTGCAGATTGACATACTGCATATTGTACAATATTGTATATTGCATGTTGTATAGCAGCAATATAGACAGAAGAGATTTGAGTGAAATAAGTGACTGTAGTGGTTTCGTTTGTGCGCGACAGTCGTCCGCGAGGGGCTGTCGCGCTATTTTGTGTTTTTTTATTTTATTAAAGATTTCTTTGAGTGTTCGCCAGTTCCCGCCTCCTTCTTCCCGATCTACAAACGTTGTTACAATTGTATTTTCTGAAAGTAATTTTTTAATTGTTTATAATAGTTTTTAAAAATAAGATTTTAAGTAGACTACAAGTTAGGGATGTAACGATTCACTCAACGCGGGCAAAGAAATTATTAAGTTCCTCAGCCAGTGAAGCATCAGCGTTAACAGTGCTGTGGTTATTGTTCTTGTAATTGGTAATGTTCTGAATACCCTGCCACACTGTTCTTGGATTTTTGTCTGTGAGGTGGTACTCAATTTTCTTTTTATAATCTTCTTCGGCGAGTTTGATGCCTCTCTTTGGGGTGAAGCATCAGCGTTGACAGTGCTGTGGTTATTGTTCTTATAATTGGTAATGCTCTGAATACCCTGCCACACTCTTCTTGGATTTTTGTCTGTGAGGTGGTCCTCAATTTTCTTTTTATACTCTTCTTTGGCAAGTTTGATGCCTCTCTTTAAGTTGGATCTAGCAGTGCTGTATGAAGCTTTGTCACCAGACCTGAAGGCGGAGTCACGTTCTTTGAGTAATGACTGCACTTCACATGTCATCCAGGGTTTCTGATTGGGAAACACCCGAATCTTTTTGTTGACAGTGACATTTTCCATGCAGTTTTTAATGTAGAACAAAACAGATTCTGTGTATTGTTCCAGGTCCTGATGTTCAAATACCTCCCAGTCTGTTCGTTCAAAGCAGTCTGCAGCTGAGAGAGAGATTCCTCAGGCCAAGTTTTTATGATCTTTGTGACCGGTTTTATTTTCCTCCTCAATGGGGTGTATGTTGGGAAAAGAAGCAGTGAACAGTGATTTGACTGTCGCAGGTGGGGGAGGGGTGCGGCCCTGTAGGCATTCATAATGTTGGAATACACATGATCCAGTGTATTTTTCCCTCTGGTCGCACACTTAACATATTGGGTGAATTTAGGTAGAACTGTTTTCAGACCCGTCAGATTAAAATCACCCGCTATGATGTGCACTCCGTCTGGATGGTTCCGTTGGTGTTTATCTATAGTGCTATGTAACTGAGTGAGAGCTGCGCTAGCATTAGCATCTGGTGGAATGTACACAGCAGTCACTATTACTGCTGTTACCTATCTCTTTAAATAGAACGGTCTAACTAATATCACATAGAATTTAGCATGGATAGTGTGCACATTGGGACGCAGGCTATGTCCAGCGTTTATCGGGTTGTGTGTCAGTAATAATGGTCCGTGGGGAAACACAATTTTCATGGGAAGTCCATTGTTATTAGATACAGACAAAGCAAGGTCTCATTCTGGATGTGCTACAACAGCGTGGTTACGTAGACACAGAGTGAATGTGCTAGACTAGCCTGCCTGCAGTCCAGATCTGTCTTCTATTGAAAGTGTATGACCAGTCATGAAAAGGAGAATCAGACAATGATGATCATAGACTGCTGAGCATCTGAAGTCTTGTATCACAAAATTGGACGAAAATTTTGCTTGCAAAACTTTAACATTTAGTATCCTCAATTCCCAAACAATTAAACACTGTAATTAAAAGGAAAGTTGATGTGACACAGTGGTAAACATGCCTCTGTCCCAACTTTTTTGGTGTGGGTTGCAGCCATCAAAATTTGTTTATATTTACAAAATAAAATTAAGTTGGCCAGTGAAAACATTGGAAATTTTAAATAAAGGTTAAATAGAATGAACAAATGACATTCTTAATTTTATGACATTTCACAAAACGTCCCAACTTCTCTGGAATTGGGGTTGTAATTACTGTCAGACTTTTAAAATCCTTCATTACTTGAATTACGATTATAATAATTTAATTTTAAAGCACAGCCACCACAAAATCAGACTTAGTTTGAGATCATTCTGAGGTTAAATACAGATTTAAAATCATAACAAGAAATAGTTTAATAGCTATGAATACTGTTTTTGAAATCAAATATTTGCATAGCTATGACAGGAAACACTGGAATCTTACAATGCCTTGGAAAAAAATAGTTAATCTTAAAAATAATAAAGCGTATACATAAACCTAAATAGGAAATAAAACAGTTATCGAATAAGCATGTGTCCTATTTTCTGTACTAAACTCCTGAGACATTGGTGTCTCATATTTAGAGCAGTCGCTGCAATTTATGAAGGAAATCACTTAAATCTGTATGTGGTTGTGTATGTGAAAAAAATTCAGATGTAACCCCCCTTTGTAATCATTAACATTTTCATAAGTAATTAATTTAATTACACATTTTTTTCTCAGTAACTGTAACTGATTAAAATTACATTTATTTTGTAATTAAATTACATAATTCCATTACATGTAACTAGTTACTCCCCAACACTAGTCATCGGTGACATGAGTACCCATCACTACACTGAGTGGACGAAAGTAAAATCACTACACCACTATGTATGCAGTATGTTACATGAGAAAGAGCCCCAAGAAGAGAGCCTGAGAAAAGAAGACTGCCAAGTGAAGAAAAAAGACAGAGCAACAGTTACAAACTTCTTTTATCACTTCCTTGACCATTGTGTCTAAAACCAAATCTGAGATATTTAAACTGACCAATCAGCAAATTGCAGCTTTCCCCACTGTACTAAAGGTGTGACAATTAACAGAACCAAGTGTACACACATCTTGGCTTACAGGCCTTCTTCACTACCAGCTCCACTGTACATTTAGAAATTCAAATGAACCTTTTGGTAGGAAAGAGAGTGTTGGAAAAGGAAAATAAATGTCTTTGATCATTTTCAATATTACAATTTGGTTTTAAAGATGAATGATTAAATTTAGTTTTTTATTAAGATAATCAGTCCCTCCAGGATTTCGCAGGACTTTTTTCAGATTTTTGCGGCCTAAAATGACTGATTTTGCTGCGGCTTTTCTCAAAATTTGCGGTGATATTTGCGGCATCTCTTATTGTTTTGCAGTGAAAATATACCACAGACAACATTCTTCTAACATTGTTTTGACTTTTCTGACTTCGACAACCGTTGTAGGGCTCCAGACTTACGTTTGAGGACACCTGCACCAGTGCCATTAAGTTCTACAGAAGGTGGCACCAGTACCTGACAGTACTCAATCTCGGAGGTGTCTATTTGATATCTGCATGTACATATGCAAGATGTATTTTTTAGAGTGTTTGCTCATCTGCAATACGTCTCTAAGACGTTTCCTGTCAGATGTCAAATAGACATTTATTAGAATGCATGTAAAACTGCTTCTAAGACGTTTATCAAATTACACAGCAGATGTTTCCCAGATATTTAGCAGACGTCTTACAGATGTACTTGTGCTGTCTAGGTAGTTGAGATGCAGATCAAATTAACTTTTATTACTGTCATTCATAATATCTAAATATAATTTAATAAATACAAAAAATATATATTAGGGAGTGGAAATGGCTAATAAGCCTATAAGTACTTCTCTGCAGCCATCTACTAGTGGTCTTTTTTATTTTTAAATAAGTCTTTGCTTTCCTACATCATGAAACTTTTAGTTTTATAAATGGGGGCAACCTATGAAGGATGATCAAATAATGTCATCACATTAAAAATAATTTTCAAATTCGGTAATACTTAAAGCTTTGAAGTGCTGGGAAAAGTTGTGTCAGGCATTTAAAAACACTCGAAAACATTAGACCATTTCTGCCACAAGTTGTTCCTGTAGTTTTACTATGTTAAATCCATTGTGAATGGTGGTGATTTGTGTTTATTGAACAATGTTTTTCCTGGCTTCCACATCAGTGGCGTTTGTTCTGATATCTGTAGCTTTAGCAGAATTCTGCACCGAATTTGAATGCTTCTCACAAGATTTCACAGCAGAGATGTTATTGATTCTGCGGCGAATTCGACTGCTTTCTTCACTGTAGGCCTATCTCCCAGCGCTGTGTATAATGGTGTCGCGTCACATCGCGTCGCGTGATTGAGATCAGCCCACAGCTCCAGCCCGAGCAAATAAACGGTCTGCGCTGCGTAGCCCAAAGGAGTAGCGCGGATTCGTTCCACTTTTGGTTTGTTTGTCCAATGTAGCTCTTGTAAATCGGTCATGAAGAGAATGCAAGGCTGTTCATTCAATTTTTGGAACCTTTCTTTGAATGCGTGTTGCGATGACGTCACGGGACGCGTCTAAGCCCAAAATTTGCGGAAAATCTGCGGCAATTACGAAAATTTGCGAGCTCTTGCGAAAATTGCGGAGTTTGCTTGATTTTGCGATAAATTCAGCGATCGCAGAATCGCAAAATCCTGGAGGGACTGGATAATACTTCTGCTAACACTGTATCAAGTCTTTCAAGCTCAAGTTCTGGCCTGGTCATAGTCCAGATTTGAACCCTATAGATAATATCTGGTCTCACATTAAACTCAAACAAACAAAGTTTTTCAACTACTCATCAACGATTTGTATCCACCAACAGTGAGTGTAATGACATTGACCATCTCTTCTGTAAAAAAACTATCTGTAAGTTTACCCACAATGCTTAAAAATATAAAGAAATTAAAAGGAAAAAAATACTGAAAATTTCCAACACAGGTCTTTCGGTTCGGTATGCATGTGTATGGAACAATACATACACATGTTCCTAACACATGCATAATGCCCAAATACCCATACCAAACATTTTCAGTATGAATAAGTGTACCATTACACCCCTGAAATTTGCTTATATTTATATTACACAAATCGAAATTTACATCTGATCCAGTGATATATATTGATTATTTAAGTTATACATATTATCTCAGATTTAAAAATATTGTTCCTCTTGCTCATCAGAACTGATCTCTATACACCAACAAAAACTCAAATCCAGACTGAAGCAGAAATATCAGAGAATTGTTGAAGGAATCTCAAATCAAGGAAGCTCAACACTTCTGAATGAGATCTATACAGAGCTCTACATCACAGAGGGAGGAAGTGGAGACGTCAATAATCAACATGAGGTGATACAGATTGATACTGCTTACAGGAGACCAGAGACACAGGAATCACCCATCAAATGCAATGACATCTTTAAAGCCTTACCTGGAAGAGACAAACCCATCAGAACTGTGTTGACTAAAGGAGTTGCTGGCATTGGAAAAACAGTCTCTGTGCAGAAGTTCATTCTGGACTGGGCTGAAGGAAAAGCAAATCAGGATGTTCACTTTATATTTCCACTTCCTTTTAGAGAGCTCAATTTGATGAAGCAGAAAAATATAAGTCTGATGGAGATTCTTCATCAGCTTTTCACAGAAATTAGGGAACTGAAATCAATAGATTATAATGAATTTAAAATAATTCTCATCTTTGATGGTCTGGATGAGTGCCGACTTCCTCTAGATTTCCAGAACAATAACATTTTATGGGATGTAACAGATTCATCCTCAGTGGATGTGCTGCTGACCAACCTCATCAAGGGGAATCTGCTTCCTTCTGCTCTCCTCTGGATCACCTCTCGACCAGCTGCAGTCAATCAGATCCCTTCTGAGTGTGTTGACCAGCTCACAGAGATACGAGGGTTCAATGACCCTCAGAAGGATGAGTATTTGAGGAAGAAAATAAATGATCGGAATCTGGCCAATAAGATCATGACACACATCAAATCATCCAGAAGCCTGTACATCATGTGTCACATACCAGTCTTCTGCTGGATTTCAGCCACTGTTATAGAGAGGATGTTGGGTGAAGCACAGGGTGCAGAGATCCCCAAGACTCTCACACAAATGTTCACACACTTTCTAATCTTTCAGACCAACCTGAAGACCCAGAAGTATGATGGGAAATGCAAAGCAGATCTTCAGCAGACAAGAAAGAATATTCTGGCACTGGGAAAATTGGCTTTTGAACAACTGGAGAAAGGAAAGCTGATCTTCTATGAGGAGGACCTGATAGAGTACGGCATTGATGTCAGAGAAGTGTCAGTGTGCTCAGGAGTTTGTACCCAAATCTTCAGAGAGGAGTTTGGACTGTATCTGGGGAAGGTGTTCAGCTTTGTGCATCTAAGCGTTCAGGAGTTTCTTGCTGCTTTATTCAAGTTTCTAGTGTTTGATCAAGACAAAGAAAATGAAACATCAATGATTTATTTACTGAAGACTGAAGTGGACAATGCCTTACTGAGTGAGAACGGACACCTGGATCTTTTCCTCCGGTTCCTTCTGGGTCTCTCACTGGAGTCCAATCAGATACTCTTACGAGGTCTGCTGACACACACAGGAAGCACCTCTCACAGCAAACAGGAAATAATTGATTACATTAAGATGAAGATCAGAGAGAATCCCTCTCCAGAGAAATCTATCAATCTGTTCCACTCTCTGAATGAACTGAATGATCATTCTCTGGTGCAGGAAGTCCAAACATACCTGCGCAAAACAGGATTCAGTTGTCTCTCTGGAGTCAGACTCACTCCTGAGCATTGGTCAGCTCTGGTTTTTGTGTTACTGAACTCAAAAGAGGAGCTAGATAAGTTTAAACTGGGTAAATATCATACATCAGAACAATGTCTTCTAAGGCTGCTGCCAGTGATCAAAGCATCTAGAAAAGCTGAGTGAGTACTTTAAAATGTAAAATGTACTTCATTGTCAAAATGAATGTTTTACTGCATATTAGATTATGATTGTTTAGTTGATACAGTTTTAATTAAAAGCAACATTAAGCATTGTACAATACAAACATTTGCACCAGTCTAGTTTTGAGTTAGTTTCCACATAATTATTGACTGTGTACTAATGTTAATTTATCTTATCACTTTTATTCTTAGTCTAAGTAAGTGCAATCTCAGTGGTCAAATCTGTTCATCACTGGCCTCAGCACTCAGCTCAAACTCCTCCAGTCTGAGAGAGCTGAACCTGAGTCTCAATAAGCTGCAGGATTCAGGAGGGAAGCTGCTTTCTGCTGGACTGGAGAATCCTCACTGTAAACTGGAGACATTACAGTAAGAATCTCTTCACTGCAGTCAGAGATTGTGTGTTTGTGTCTGCTGGATAAAGGTGAAATTGATGGTTCAGTTAACACTACTGAACTGATGTTTATCAATTATGAGCAATCATAAAGATGTTCCGCCCCACTTGCACTAGCCAGACTCTGTCCAGGCTTACTGGCCAGTTGAGCAGGTTGAATGGGTGGTGAAGCTCATCAGTAAGTGTGATCAGGCTATCCAGCTTTAGTGAAACCTGTCCATTAATTCAACGTTGTA